GAATTGTGAACTGGTAGAATGGGTCTCTGACACATACAAAAGCATATCTTTCCCTTGGACAATAGCTCAATTTGTTTGGAGTTGAAAATATTGTTATTCTGTCATCTGTAATAATTCTTCCAGAATCCACTGGTAGGCTTACAGAAGAATAATTTAATTCTCCACCTTACACAGGATCTGCAAGTCAGTCTTCCCAACAAACATGAAGGGCCAGGGTCCTCACTATTCCCACCTTAATGAATAATACACCATAATGACCTGCGTGAAAGAATCATACCTTGATGATTTCAGAAATGAGTATAGTGAGGAAGAGAAGGTGGATTGTATTATAGCAAAGAACAACACCACATTCCAACCTACAAAAAGACCAACACAAGTGGATCTCAGTGATGATGAAGAGGTGACAACTCCAAAGAAAGCCAACAAAAACAATAAAATATGATTTCTTACAGTCTTCAACACCAGTTGTGTTTATATTTTATGTTTCTGTACACATCATTTATAAACAAAACAACAAACTTTGAACTAAAAGAGTATACTTTAATTACTTGGTAAACAAATATGTAATTGTATAAGGTAACATGTTCAGAACTCTACCAAAACATAGAGGGCACCACTTTGTCGAAACATTTTTGCATTTTGGTTACCTTAGGGTAGGAAAATTTTCATTTCAACCTTTTTCACTTTGTGTAGATGAAGGTCAGGAAGAATAAAGTGGAAAGATGCTTGATAACTTGAGGGTTAGGGTTAGGGTTCAACACTAAAAACTGGGTCATTTTCTCCCAGACTCTAAAAACATTAATAATAAAACAACACAGGTATATTATAATATACAACTAAACTTACTTTTTTCACATTTTCAACATTTAAAAAAAAATTCATTCTAAAAAAATGTTTAACTGTGTTACAGTATGTTCAAGGAAAATCTTGTCTAACAACATTTGGTCCAGGTATCTATTGGTCCAGAGAATGTTTTTATCCAGGGTTTTTTTTGTCCAGCATATGTGAAACTGTGTTCATTGTTAATTTAAGCAAATGCTGGATATATTTCTAACCATTTTGAACAGATATCTTACAGTAATCGGAGAATATGGGAAAATATCATGGGCAATATGTCCATTTTCACTTTAAATTATCCAATCTTCACTCCTTTTTACACTTTTAAATTTATATCTTTGCTTCATTTCACAATAAAAGGTACAACCTTTGGCAATGAATGCAGTTATTGTAATTTTCATAAATGTTGGCATGAGGAAAATTGAAATTTAAGTTAGTATGCCAAAATGTTAAGAGTAGTTTACTAATATTAGATGTCTGAAAAAGTTAAAAAAAGAAATTACATTAAATTTGACTTGAAAAAGCGATAATGTTGAAGCATGACAGTGCCAGATCTCACACAAGTTTTAATAGTAAAATTTGAAATGAGTTTGTGCATAATGTATAAATTCATCATCACCAAACTGAAAAACTCCTTTCACACCACCCATTTCCAAGCCAAAAAAACAGTGGTTTGAAAAAAAATAATATTTTAAAGGAAGTCTTGTCCACTTTCTGTTTTTGATGTCTGTTACTCATATGTTATATTCTGAGGTTAGTTACTCTGTAATAAAAAATATTGATATCTTTAAGAGTAAGAATATATTATGTCAGATTTTCTTTCCATTCAATATCATTAATTTAATTTTTAAAAGATTAGGATAAACAAGATATCAAATTATTGGAAAGCTTTAACCTAACCATTACTTTTCTATATTAGTGAAAAAAAATCAAGTTTGCTTTTCACTATTTCTTCAACACATTATACCAACAGCATATTGTCTAGTCTGACAATTGAATGTTTTTTTTTCAATATCTGTTAGATAATAAGCTTTAGTGAATAACTACTTTGAATTGGTAACAATAATTATTAATATGTAGAAAATAATATCCTTTACAAAAAATTTTCAAAGAATTGTTTTTCTTTTATAAAATCCAGTTTTAGTTATTATACCTTGAAAAAAGACAAAGTTAAAAATTTACATTATAAACTAAAAATTTTACAATATGGCTGGGGACTTTTTACCTATACTGCATAGATATCTACATACTAAAAAATTTGATATCTTTTTTATAACAATACTCAACAAAATGTTTATTTGTCATTACATTGACTTTTATTTGGATAAATGAAATAAAACAGAAATATTGTGGCAAACTGCAATGAAGCTGTGTTATCATCTATTTGTTCATCTCCAAACATTCTGCAATCTATCACAATAAAATTCCAATAGAAAAAAAGATGATGACAATTGTGATGATTCATCAAAGTCATGATCTATTAGATATTTGATAGAAATTGATCAAGTGTTTTAGGAAAAAGAAATCATTGATATTCATTAGATTACATTTGATATGATCTCTTGCAATTACCTCACTTGGATAAATCTTGCCATTTATTTTAATTATTGACAAAGATCTTTCTTGAACTGCTTCAAAAAACTCATACTTTTGGTTAGCTGCTCCTCCAAGAAGTCCACTGGACCACTTATAAGAATTTAAATTGGCAATATACACATCTAGATATTCACCAGTCAACCTTCTTTTTGATTTTTTACAAAACTATTCTCTATAAAGTTTTTTTCATTTCTTTGAAAGGAAACATAAAATAAATCATTGTTTAAATTGACTTTAATATCTCTGTGCTTTGAATGAAATACAAAAGATTAAAGGTTTCATTATCAATTATCAATGTTACACTGGCTGTTACAATTGAACCCCCAGAAATTGTTAAAGATGTGACTCCAACAAAAGCATAATCAGCATTACTTGATGCTAATCTTTGAAAAGATAAATTAATTATATTGAACAGAATGAAAATCTGAAATAATATATTCTTACTCGCAAGTTGTTCCAGCTATATCAGCTCTTATTATAATTTCTACTAGTGTACCTTCTTGGAAAGGAGGAGTACCCAAAACAGTTGATACAGATGTAAAGAGAGCAGCAATATTTCCAATATCTGAATTGTTAAAAATAAGTGAATTTTAAAGAGCCAATTTATTCTTTCATTTTTGTTAGAGATTCGACAAACATTTATCCACAAAGTTTGTTTGTTTTTCTCATGTTTAAAGTACTTACTCCAACAAAACAGAACTAAACTCCTCATCTTAAAAATTTCCATTTTTACTACTTTGACAACTTCAGTAGTGGCTTTGAAGAAGATATCAAATTTGTTAGTATATATATATAGATATCTATAAATGCAAATGAACATTTCTGTGGTCTCAATTTTGGACAATTTCTACAGAAAAAGTTCATTCACTGCTAGATCTCTTAAAAAAGTATCATGTAACTAGTTCCAAAATAATTCTATGCAGTAACTAACCTCAGAATATAACATATGAGTACCTGGTACTCCTGGGAACTCTTGCAGTGTGGCACCCTGCATGATCTTGAACAAAAAAACACCACCCCTGATCATATTATTCATCAAGCTGAACTCATTTTCAGTGTCATTTGTACAGGTCCTGAAGTCATCAGGAAAAAATATTGGTAAAACATAAAAAGATTTTCCAAATGGGTTATTACTTTTTAATTGATTGATTAGGTTTTAATAAAGAGCAGGAAAAAACTCTACTAACATGTTTTGATGGAAGAAACTACAAGAAAATCAGTATTTAATGATAGCCCTTCTTGGTGTTTTTCAACAACCAAATGCCAAATTCCTTCATTAATGACCACCATTTTTTTGAATAACCAAAGATGCAATTATAATAAGATAATTTTTAAAAGAAATCTCCAAAAAAATTGGGAGAGATTACATCTTCCAACAAGATCATGCAGGGTGCCACACTGCAAGAGTTCCCAGGAGTATCAGGTACTCATATGTTTTTTTATTTGAGAGTTCAATAGCAGAGTAGATAGTTTGTAATAGCAGGTTGCCAAATTACCAAACTGTCTTCCAATGTTGAGGAGTAGATGGATGGTTCCAGTGCAGGTTGTTTCCAGGTTATCTTCCCAGGTCCTTGGATCCAGATGGAAGCTGCATGCAGAATGAGAATAGTGAGGATTTATATACTTTGAGGTTTGCCTCTGACATCCAATCATCACTTTACAGTTGCCGAAATGTGTAGTTCATATTTATCTTTAGTAACAGGATGTTACAAGGTTCAACATTTAGGAAGGTTAATTGAATTATAACTTGGCCACACCCTAGGCAAGTTAATAAAACCTTTATTGGTAACTAAAGATAATCCTTGAAGCTGACTAATCAGACTTATGTTTGGACAATATTATAGCATTTTCTTGCATAGGTTTTAAGATGTACATGTATAAGTTGCATCAAATAATAGAGTTCGGGACCCAGACAGAACGTCCCCAGACAAAACGTCCCCTGGAGAGAATGTCCCCTGGACAGCTAGATCTACCAAAATTCAGCATATTTACAACATTTTCCCTTCAGTTACTATGCAAAAAATATAACGAGTATTGGCTGCCTGACTGTTACTAGAGCGAAAATAGGTCAGAGACATCGCAATTTATTGGAATGAAATTTATGTCACAGTCGTAAAATCTAGCCTACGAAGACTAAAAATATCTAGGCCTATATATTTAAGAAGCTCTTCTGTGCAGAGTTGTATGTTTAAAAGAAAACTTTTTCCTTTTTAGCTAATGGCTACAGAACTGAACTATCAACCATTCATTTCATAAGGTTCAGATGTAAACCCTCTTGTCAGTTAAAGTCAAACAATTTTGATGACCTTGCATTTTCTTTTTAAAAAAAAAAATGATTAATCCATTGATTAGCCTAAATAAATTTTTATACAAACCGTATCAATGTAATCTATATCAGTCCCTTTTGGATTAAAATCAACAATTGCGCTCAATATATGATATAATTTGACCTGATGTCCGCATATTTACTTTTAGCTGTAACCCTTGGGACAGGTTTTCTTGTGTTTCATATTTTACGTATAGATTTGTGTGTGTTTGTGTGTGTTTTTTTTCAATGTTAAGTTATCTCATTTTCTAATCTTAGTTTATTGATATTAAAATGACAAACTTATTAGGAATGGAAACTTTTTAACTTTAAGAAGTCTGTATTATTGTAACAAAGGCCTGTTCACTAATACAGCCATAATTCTCCCAATGAATTTTATCATTCTCCTTTAAACTTAGCAGAAGAGTTCTTGAGAATAAGGTGTTCCTACCTAATATACTATGCTTCATTGATACTGCAACTCTTTCATTGTTCAAGAACATTCTCAAGTCTAATTTTGAATTGTGGTACTTTTCAAAAGTGAACTCTATAAAGTAGATTCCCTCATTTTTCACCACAAACTCATTTCTTGTTGCATTCCACGATGCAGTTGAATCGTTGATATCTTTCAAATTGACACGTCGAAATTCATTGCAAGTGCTGTCTGTTCTTGTTGCTTGGAAATATGCCAATGCCTCATTCATTTTGAAAGCCCCCATATAAGTTTCAGTATTAACTCCTGCTAATGGTCCAGAAGCTCCAAGAATAGGCAATGTTACTTTGGCAGTTAACACATCACCCTGTTGCAGGGAAACTAAATTTGATCTGGTGAATTGTTCGGTTCCCAGACGATTTTGAATTGATGCAGAAAATTCCAAAGGAGTTGCAAATAATTCATTGTTGCGAAGTACTTGAACAGCAAGCTTACCAATTCTGTAGTAATCACTATGAGTAAAACCATACAGCATTCCGGCATTTATAAAGTATAGACCAGCCAATTCAACTCTAAATTGAGACAAGATGCTGTTTTCTCTAAAACCTTTCATCGCTGAAACTATAGGCCACTTTACGAATCCAGTAGGAAGACGTTTATTACTTCCGCAAAACAGATAACTATCTGATTTATAATTGAAACCCAACCAGGAAGTTTCTCTTCCATCAGCTGTACTGTAAAGACTTGTTGGGGTCTTTAACTTCATTTGAGGTTTAAAGACAGGAGTTAGAACAAATAGTCCTGATCTTGACATGGTTTCTGGACCATCGGCATTTTCGTATGCTGCTCTGCTTATTCCAATACTTAATCCAGTCCTTTCAGTTGCCATATTTATTACATTTCCACTGGTTGTAGTTGCAACCATTGAAAAAAAATACAGGCCAGCAGTTTTAATTGTCACATCATTTGTTTCTTGATTAAACATATCATCTGAATTTAAATTCACTGATGTCCAGTTCATAATTCCGGCATTTCCATTGGTTGTTTCGGTTAGAGAGACCATAAAGGCAGCACCACCTTGAGAACAGGGTCCATTTGTACATGGTTCACTTTCCGATGGTTGACCTTGGCAGTCATTACCTCCATTTGATGGTGGAGGATTATTGCACAATCTACTTCTCATTCTTAATCCATCTCCGCAGGATGGTTCGCAGGCGCTCCATGCAGACCACTCACTCCAATTTCCATCTACTGGTGGAGATCCACCAGAAGATTTTCTGCAAATTTCACCCAAACATTTGTCAAAGTTAAAATTTGGGTTAAATTTAAATTGAGGAGGACATTGTTGTGGCCAAGCGACACCATTTACGCAATTGAAATAAAGGGAAGGGTCTGTGGAACTTGCAACAGTACTATTCAAATTTGGTTGACATTCATCGGCTCTTGTTTGTAGTACTTTCATTTGAATGAGTGATTTTAAAAGGGAGGAATCCTTCATTCCAGTTGTAATGTCTTCTTTTTTGTTGAGTGGACTTTTTGTCAATGAGCAATCCGATTGGCTGGCTTGGACGCAAGCAAAGAAATGGCAAGGTGTAGCGGAAAGTTGAAAATGAAGTCCGGGTGGACATTGTTGGGGAAAGGCCATACCATCAACGCAGTGGTAATAGACTCCACAGATGTTTGGATCTCTGTAAGCTCCATCAATTGGTTTCTGATCCGAGTCAATTGGACAGACAAAATTTGAATTTACACATTTAAAAATGCAAATAGCTGAAAAACAAAAATTGAATTTTAAAAATTTTCTCTAAAAATTTCAAAAGAGAAAAAAAATGGAAAAACAAAAAAAGAAAGTTATTTACCCAAAGTAAAAAGTAGAAATTTCATATTTATTTGTTGTCTGTTCAGTTCAAATGTCTTGAAACTTCTGTAGTAATGTTCGTCTTGTATATATATATATACATATGTCTAGTGTTTTTTTTTTAATTGGCAGGATTAGTTAATGATAAGAAATCTGATAAAAATATAATAATTTGTACAACAGCCTTATCTGTTATGGCTTTTTTGAAATCTATTTCGTTTTCTGTTTTTTTTTATAGAAAGGATAAAATGGTTTTTATAAGGGCTTGGCAAAATTTTGAAATGAAATGCAATTTTTATCTTTTGCTTCAGTCAGCTGAATACAAAATTTTGATGGTTCAAGAAATTTTTGGGATGCCAAAGATGATTCAATGCTTAGGTAAGAGAAGGTGTGCTGATTGATTGAGTAATTTAGTAGCAAGAGAAACCCTGGGAAATGAATGATTGAACATTGGAAATACGCAACAAATAATTGTCAATGGTTTTTGGGAAAGTGACTAAGAGTTTCATTAATCTATAATAATTGTTTATGATAAACTCTAATTGTCTGTAACCAGTGGTGTCATTCCATTTCAGATTTACTGATGTTTTGAAGCAAAGTTTTCCTATTAGAAAAACAATGAATTAATTTCATTTTTAATTCAATTAGATTTCTTTTATCATCAATAAAAGTCAACAAACTTTGTAAGCTGTTATTTGTTATCTGTAATGATTACTCTATGTGTAATCTAAAGATGATTATGCTAATCGTAATCTAATCTTGAGCAATCCTTTTTGTAATGATATCAAATGCAATTTGAGTTGAAAGGGCAGGTATTCTCACACTGCATACACAAAATATAACCAAATCATTTATGCCAGGTAAGGTATAACATAATCAATAGACAATGAATTGCTTTGGAAGGTCAACAATTGGAACATTTGCTAAGGATACATTCCTACTTTAACTCTATAATCAACATAAGGAGCTGTTTAAACAATTTAAAGGATGTAAGACAAAAGAGTACTGCAGTTGAGAAGATTAAATCTTAAAGGTTTCTTTGTTTAAAATAAAGAAATTGCCTAGATAATGGCGTATAACTACTCTACAGGCATAAAACAATTTCTATCTTATTAAGGTTGTACTGCTCTTGCTGGCAAAATCTATGCGTTTGCAAGTTATAACAATACTGGTTCTACTCAAACCTTTAAACAAATGTTTAAATTAAAACGGTTTATTCGCAATAATAATACTTAAGCAAGTAACAATATGAGTTCAATAGCAGAGTAGATAGTTCGTAAAAGCAGGTTGCCAAATTACCAAACTGTCTTCCAATGTTGAGGAGTAGATGGATGGTTCCAGTGCAGGTTGTTTCCAGATGATTTTCCCAGGTCCTTGGATCCAGATGGAAGCTGCATGTCAAATGAGAATAGTGAGGATTTATATACTTTGAGGTTTGCCTCTGACATCCAATCATCACTTTACAGTTGCCAAAATGTGTAGTTCATATTTATCTTTAGTAACAGGATGTTACAAGGTTGAACATTTAGGAAGGTTAATTGAATTATAACTTGGCCACACCCTAGGCAAGTTAATTAAATTATAACTTGGCCAAACCTTTATTGGTAATTAAAGATGAGCCTTCAAGCTGACTAATCAGACTTATGTTTGGCCAATGTTATAGCATTTTCTTGCGTAGGTTTTAAGATGTACATGTATAAGTTGCATAAAATAATAGAGTTCAAGCATGTAAAATACAACCAAAGTTGTACAAGGTAACTGAAACTTTTTGGTGGTAATTCTATTGATCATATTAATACTTATACAATGATGAGAAACACCATAAAAAATATAAAACTAGGCTCAAGATGGTCAAGTTTAGAATTGAAGCCCAATGTGCTCCATCCATTTTCTATACAAAACGAGCGCTTAGAGAGTGCAAAATAACTAGGATCCCAGGAAGCCAACATTGGAGCCAAGTGGACTCCATCAAGTTTCCCCACCAAAAATTATATAGGGCCTTAAAAACAAATAAGAGTTTAAGGAGACGGAAAAAAAGTAGGAACTCAAGGAGCCAAAGTGTAAAACTGGAGCCCAGTGGGCTCTACTAATTTTTTATGCAAAGTAATCTCATGGAGACTGAAAAGCAAGTAGGAGCCCAGGGAGCCCATCTTTAAAATTAAAGCCAAATAGCCTCCATCAATTTTCCACACAGAGGAGCACATGAAGCCTTAAAACAAGTTAGAAACCAAATGAGCTCAACTTTGAAATTCCAGACCAGTTGGCTCTATAAATTTTTCACATAAAGTGCACATATGAAGCCTTAAAATCAATTAAGTGACCAACTCCCAACAGATTTCAACTAGTACTCAACACAGAGTATAAGCAGTATACGTAAAAGAATGTGTAGACCAACAGTCATAAGTCTTAAAAGTATGACTTTGGAACTAACTGAAAATTACCGAGTACCCCTACCAAGAGCTGTATATGTTTCGCGGAATCAATAGAACATGTCCATGAACCGACAGAAAACAATCCAATTAAAATACCAAAAAATGGTAGAAGAGTTAAAACAAAAAGAACCTAGAAATAAGACGCTGGTAGAGTGGGATGGGACGAAGGCTCTTACAGTAACTGGTAGGGGACTTATAAAGTTCTTCCCACTTCCTAAGGAACCAAATGTGTGGAAGATGAAACTTCAGATGTAGAAAAATTCTTTACTAGTGTCCCGGATGCAGACATCAGTGAAAAGAGCTTACACGGAAAGCAGATTTATAAAAGAAAGAATGACGATGAATTAGATGATGTTAATCCAAGCAAGAAACCTAAAGTAGAAAATCTACAACAAATCAGCTAATAGATGGCGCCAGTGCAAGAGCGGCCACCTAGTATATTTTTATACTTTTGATAAAAGGTATATAAACATATCTAAGTGTTCAAATTGCATTAAAACCTGAAGAAGCTTAAGTTATAGGCGAAATGTCATTTATTTTTATTTTTATTAAATATGGTTTAACTTTAAAAAAGATTCTTTTGTTGTGCAATTGACTACCCAACCCTGAGATAACCCTACCTAAAATAGACACAGGCTCTGTTAAACAAATAGACTGAGCAACACCTAAATTTACCATTAGAATATTTAAGTGGCTCAGCTCCATCAAGCTCTACCAGCTCCAACTCTTAGCTTCAATCAGCAATAGCATATATGACAGTGTTGTCTATGAACCTCAACCTAATCCTAACAAAACCTAACCCTATTTTTTCTGCCTTTCACCTTCTTCTTCTGACTAAACATCCACCTTCACCTTGTCTCTTCAATAAAAGACGCATTGAACTACAATCATAAAAATTAGCAGTTATTCATAATATGCATACTAGGTGCTCTAGAGTTCTTTTAAAAGTCTAACAATAGCTTTCATATTTTATTATGAATATATATTCTTCACCAAAGCAATTATTGATATAAATTTAAAACTTATCAGGATGTAGTAGGAATTGCCCACTAATTTGGCTTTTACCTTTCACCTAACTTTAGTCTTGTCTTAGATTTTCAACCAGTCTCAACTGCTCAATGAATCATTCAAAGCTCTATTTTCTAATCCTTTCAAATACAACAGCACATTTAAATTGGTTTTTTAATGTTTGGAAATTATTAACTTTCTTGTAGTTGAAATAGAGAACAATAATCAATTCATTGTTTAGTATGAACAAATATGTCAAGTCTAAAACTAATAAATGTTATAAAGAAAATAGAAATTTATTGAATTTAAAAGCTATTAATGATAAATTAAAACATGGCAAGTTCAATTGAATTTGAATTAACAAAAATATTCAATGCTTTTTGAAGACCCTGCTCAAAATGGGAGGCTCCCATCTAAGGTTTAGGGGTAGTGAACAAGGTAAGGGAAAGACAAGGGTTGGATTAGAGTTAGGGTAAAAGCATTATTTTGTGGATATTTTCTGTCGCATACCCTATTGGAGATGGTTGTCAGCTAGCCTGTAGAAATTATTAAATAGTAGAGTTTAGAATTAAAGATATCACCCTTACTTTAAATGAATAGCATAAACAATACTTGTTGCAAAATCCTTGAAGAGTCAGCTTTTTGGAAAAAAGAGAGATTATTGTATGGTTTAACAACTGCAAGTAAACCATTATATAAGCATATTTTGGAAAAACAAACAAATGCTAATTTTGAAAATATTGGATTAGAGAACTTTAGAATTCATTATCAGTCCTGCTTAGAAAAATCTCAGACAATTGAACAATTAGGAGCAAAGCCTCTGCTTGGTCTAATTAAAAGCTTAGGTGGTTGGGGTTCTGATAAAAAGTCTACCACTTCAAAATATAACTTTCAGGATACAGTAGGGAAGCTGTCAGTACACAATATTGCACCTCTCTTTTCATTAATAGCTACTAATGATAAGAAAAATTCATCCAGGTATTTCTACCAATTGGAGGAAGGAGATTTGGCATTAAATAGGGATCAGTTAATAAATGGAGCACTGTTGTTGAATATAAGTAACAACACAGAACTAAAAGCTTTTAAAAACTATATTACAAACATAAGTGAACTACTAGGAGGAGAGAAGAATTCTTCTCAAAAATTGGCCATTGATATTATAACTTTCCAACAAAAAATAGCAAATGTAAGTCTCTATTTCCCTTAAAGATGTCATTTTTTTTTAATTATTCAATAATAGTTGAGCAACAATGAGAAAGGGGAGAAAAATGATATCAAATTCCATCAGATGTCCACATTTAAAGGATTACAAGAAAAATTCCCATTTGTAAGAAGTTTTTTTGTTCCACTTTTCTGTTTTAGTTGTTTTTTTATTGTTCACTTTAGATGGATTGGCTTAAGTTGGTTGAAAATCAATACAAATTTCATAATATTAGTAAAGTGATTAGTGGGGATGAGTCTGTTGTTATATCATCCAATAGTCAATATTTCCATAAACTAAGTAAATTTCTTAATGAAACTCAACAAAGTAAAGAAGGAAATAAAACTTTACACAATTTTTTAATATGGCATGTCATTCAAGACTCTATTTCTTCCCTTTCCAAACCATTTAGACAAGCCAAAGAGGAATTTGACAGTAAAGTATTTGGGAGGAAAAGCTATGGGGAAAGATGGCTTAACTGTTTAATTGATAATAGTAAGTTGTGCTAATTAAAAGTGATTATGGTTTATTTAAACATTTTAAATTCTTAGAGGAAGATGTTGGATCTGAACTTGTTGAAACATCCATATTTTTTAAATGAGGGAAATTCACTTTTTCAAATTTACAGAAATTGGGAAACCAAGGCAAATGAATACTTTCAAAATAGATGGAATGCAAAAGCTATTAAAGTTTTAATAGTGCTCTCTAAAAATGAAATAGTTGTACCAGCAGGTATACTATCACCACCATTTTTTTACCCAAAAGAAACTCCTAGATCAATCAGTTATGGTGCAATTGGTCATGTTCTTGGACATGAATTAAGTCAAGGTTTTGAAGATGATAATAAGGTAAATCTTTGTTTCTACACCAATATTTTATAGGAAATATTATTTTGTTTATCTTTAGAAGTATGACAAATATGGAGAATTAATAACAGACACAAAACTTGAAAAACAAATACAAGAAGATTTAGGCAATAATCTAACAAAAGAGAAATTTGAATTGCCTGGCCTTGAAGATAAAACCCCTAAGGAACTGTTTACCATGTCCTTTCAGCAATCCTTGTGCATGCCAAACAAGTCAGCATTTTGTTCATAAATTTAGCTATAACAAAAGATTTACAGCCAATTTAAAATGAATGTAATTTCAAATTATTATTTTTCTGATGTTGTTGGAAATGCTAACAGTTCTGTGGTTTTACTTTAAACCTAAACAACTCATGACCCATCTTCTAAGATTTTTTTTCTTCTTCTTAACTGTTATAGCTAATTAATTACAAACCAATTATTTACAATAACCCCTAAATACATTTTGCAAAAGGTGTCAGGAAATAACAAGTCTTTCTTGATTTAATAGTTAGCTAAGTATGAGTAGCAGTCATCTTAATTATCTCTGTTATCTCTAGTATCATAGAGGTTCATGATAAAAGCCTCTAACAGTTTATTAACTTATGATTATAGAAAATCAATTTAAAATTATTGAAAATAAATCATAAAATTTAAATGGCAGCTCTCTTCCTAGAAGACTAACAAGGATGAAAAATGCTCTTGTTGGAGCACATTGCAAGATTTTCAATCAATGCATTCATCAAGAAGGCTAGACTGGTAAGGGTTCCTCAATAAAGATGCGTTTACTGTTAGTCTAGGATTTTTGGCTTATTTGGTGATAAGAAAAAAAATGTTTCAGAGTATCAAATATGAATTTAAAATTTTTTTCACTTTGTATCCTCTTCAATTATGCTCAGAATTATATAATTGGAAAATAGTTAATAATTACTTAATATCAATCAAGCTTGACTTGAAAGTACTTATCATTAATTGTAATGCTTACAAAAGGTGCCAGGACATTTCGGTCCAGGACATTTCAGCCCACTTTGGGACATTTTGGCCTACTTTAGACATTTTGGCCCATTTTAGAGCATAAATATTCAAGAATATAACTTTCCATTTTATGATGGATTATGTTTATTTTTTCAATAAAAAAGGAAACAATTTCAAAACAGTAAAAGAATGATATAATATACTTTTCAATAACTAAAATGCAGAGTAAGAAATGTTAACTAATGTTAAAGAATATTTAAATGTACAAGTCTATCCAATAATTCATCCAAACTCAGTTCTCTTTCTTCAAATTTACTCCACAACTGAAATATTTCGAATTGTAAATCTTGATACTTATTCTTTTGTATCTTTCTTAACTTTTTCTCAGACAATAACTTTTCAAAGATGTCTACTAACTCACCTTCTCTTCTCAATTCTTTTATGAGAGAATACAAGTTCTCATCCATGTTCAAGTTTTTGTTAAGCCTGGAATGCCATGCCTCAACATGATTGTTTGTTCTCACAGCCAATTGATAGACAGACCAGAATTTAGGAGGCCAAATGCTGCTTTTAATAAATATTTCTTCAAAATAATCAAGCAAATCTGAAAACAATTTCTTTTCACAAAGTTCTTCTTTTATTTGAAAAAACTTTTGTTCAATAAAATTTGATGGAAGATAGGCCAAACACATCAATTTTTGTAACATTTTCCCTTTATATTCATTTTCTTTATAATCATTAATGTATCCAAGTTTCTAACAAAAATTTTCTATGAATATTTAATTGTTTGCTGTATCATTTAATCTACCTGAATGTTTCTCAAAATTGCTTGCGTGAAATGAAAAGAGCATCCTTTAAGGTCAGAATTAGGAAACTGCTCTTCAAGTGCCATCCATATAGCCTTTTCAAAAGCAAGAATACATTTCCTGGGTGTTTTATCATTCAGTAATTTTCTTATCTCCTGTTTTTATTTATAAAGAGTTTAATTAAAAGTGAATATCATATTGAATGTGCACTTAGAAACATCAACATAATAATAATTAGACTTAGATATTATAGAACTTTAGAAAGGCTTTTATTTCATAGGAAACATATTCTTTGACCAAAACAGATGTTGCATTATAGAATTAACAATGGAACAAACAATATAGAAAAAATGCATGTCAAGCTTGTTACATCTTATTCAAAAACAGATGCCAAAGAGGCAGGCTTGCTTTTGCAGTGACACATATCAGCCAGAAGTGATGCAATAGTTTTTCATGTCTTTGTTATGTGTGCATTGTGAGACTGTTACATTTCAACTTCATAATCTTTTGACCAAGTGAACCCAAGCTTTGGTAAATGTATAAAAGGAAATGCATTTCCTCAGTTCGTCAGTTCAGTTTTAATTGTTAGCTTGTTGTTTGAACTTGCTTGTTTAGAACTAAAACTCATTATACTCAATACATACTCTTTGCACGAAATACTGGCAGTTCATTGATTAATTTTTGCTGGAATTGAGTTTGTTGAGACTACCTGTGGGATGAACTTGAAAGGTTCTATTTGGACCAGTACTTTGGTTTATTGGTAAATGATTGGTGAGGACGAATTCAATCGTAACGAACTCAAGATTCCTACAATTACAGTACAAGGCAGTACATTAACCAAAAGCAAACTTTCTGGTATCAACTAAATGAATGTTAGAAAAAGATTTAACAAATATAGATTTCTTCCATTCTAACATGTACAATTCTATTATACATATATGAGGTGATGCAGGTATGCACATGGGCATATAAAATTCTTGCAAACAAATGCAACGAATTTAGCATTAACTATAGATCTATATTAGTCTTAATTTAATCACTTAAGAACATTTATTTAGCCTTACTTTTCTACTTCCAAAACACTTAAGAACATTTATTTAGCCACCAGCTAAAGAGTATCAAAAGGTTAAACTTCAACTATTGTTGACTTTTGGACCAGTTCCAATTTATCACTTTCAATGGTTAAATTGAATGTTACCAAAATTGTTACATCTTACAAAAAAAACTGACCATCTAAATTTATCTGACCTAATTACTCAGGATGAATGAAATCAATTAAAGGTGGAACCATTTTTAGAACTTTCAATTGTGTTAAAATGATACTTTTTTTACTTTTCTACTTCCAAAAGGTAAAATTATTTTATACACTAACACATAAGAATCTCTATCAATAAATAAAACATTTTATATCTGAAGAGAATTTTTTTCAGTAAAATTCTCAAACCTCTAACAATTTGTATGTTAATTATAATAGACCCTGAAGAGTCCCAGATTTCAAAATACAGAGAGAGTGACGAAACCATGGTAGGTTGAGTGGGTAGGAAATCATAAAAAATTTCAGAAAAAAATTTTTCTTTTGAATATTGTTTTAAATGTTGATTTTGGTGTATTTTTTCTTTGACCGCTCCCAAAATCATTTGGGACTCTTGATGTGTGAGAATTCTGTTTCTCTTTTTTGATTTAATCAAAAACAAACCTTTTGCAAACCTTTCCTAAGCCTGTACATAGATAAGTGGTATATATTAGTATAGTATAAGCATCAAATATAAAAAAAACTTGTACAATACAACTGAATATATTTTATTTTAATAATTAAACCAATAAAATATTTGTTAGGATATTAAAGTTTTAAAGATTATCAGTCATCTAGATATTATTCTTTTGGATTTATAGTGCCAATGAGGTTTTATCTATTGCATTAATTTTCCATTCCTTTTTTCCCTTTCATCATTTAAACATTGTATAATTCTAAGAAACTGTGCATTTTAATTGTTAGATGAATTATAAATTGATACTGATGTTCTCTTTATGTCTACAAACAGTATCAGTATCAACTGTATCTTTTAAATAACTTTAAATACAAGTAGCAATACTTGTTTATCATCATCCAAGTAATCTATAATTTGACGCTCTTTTTCTTCAATAAAACCATCCTTTGCCAATTGTTTCAACTTTTCTTGAATTCCATCCCAATATTCAGGTGAATTTTCTAGGTAAAAATAAGTATTTGCTATCACAGCAAAACCACCTTCATCAAAAAAGCAATATGTATTTTTTTTAAATCTACCCTTATATAAACAATATTGAATATTGTTAGATTAACCTTTTTTAACGATCCTTACAATCTCATCAAACCCATTAGGTGGAAAATGACCATAAGCCAGTCCTCCAAGCATTGTACATAGATCATAGGTGTCTAAAGAAAAAAAATTATTAAAAGTCATTTTTCTTAAAAGAGATCAAATAAAATTTCTAAACTGGCTTTAATTTCATTGATGGGCTCTTCTGTTATAAATTTTTGAAAGATATTTCTATAGCCTTTAAATCCATTTTCAATCATACTTTTTGAAGGTTCAATAGCATCAACATTCTTATAATTTTGGTTAAGCAACTTCAAAAAGATACAATAATTAAAGTAAATAAAATATTGTACACTGTATTATTACATTATTACAGATCAATAATTTACCTCTCTGCCAACTCGACCTGTTCCAGAACAAGCATCAACTATAACACAGTTCCTGTCACTATTATATTTAATGGCTGTCTGTACACAAACTTCAACAGGAAAGAACAGGGTTTCTGTCAACTGGAATAAAAGATTTTATATTTGTTAAAGTAATTGATATGGACAGCAAAATAAATACAAAATATAACATTTCTACATTTAATATTACTTACATTTTCATAAATACCAGCACATGATTCATAAAAACTTGAAACTTCTTGAACAGAATTTTTTGGACTTATTAAGAATTGCATAGCCTTTTTAAGGTCTAATTCATCCATCTTAGGTTTTATGACAATTTACTGCAAAAAAACATGATAAAAGATAACAATTACAAATATGCTTTATTTTATTACAAACATTAGATATAGAAAGTTTTATAATCTACCTCAAGTTCAGATTAACAAATAGAGGTGTCTACAAATATTTCAGCGTTGTACACCCAAAAAACTGGTTTTATCTGCTAAAAATAGTCTATTAAATGGGTTGTATTATATGATTTTAGTTCAATCCACAGTATTAAAGAATAATAAATTTCGAAATAGAAATAGGCTGACTGGTAACTGGTTTTTATAAATAGTCCTTTGAATTGTGAGAATTTGAAAGGTTCAGGGTTAATAGTTTAGGTGCTCTATATAAAAAGCCTGTCTGTACACATACATTCATCAGCTATATTCTACAATAGAGAAGTAGTATTGAACCAGTATTGTACTATGCAGATAGCACTGATAAAGATAAGCAGTAGTGACCTAGTTTCGAGTAGGGCAGTGCATACACATTACACAGGAATAAAACCTATTAAATTATATAAAGAATATTTGCTATTTCCAACCTAGCATTAATATTACAATTTATTACTAAAATTGTTACATCTTATGCAACTCTCCAACCTTCAAAATTCAACTATTGTTTAGAAGAGGAAAACAATAAAAACATGATCATATTTACAACTTTTCTTTGTCCTAAAATGTCTTTCATATTTTTGTTACATGAGAATTATGAGACTGTCAGATTTCAACTTTGTAATCCTTTGACCACTTGAACCCAAGCTTTGGAAAATGTATAAAAGGAAATGCATTTCCTCAGCTTGTCAGTTCAGTTCTTTAACCATTAACTGGTTGTTTAAACTTACATGTTTAGAACTAGAAACTCATTTACTCAATACATATTCTTTGTTTATTAGTAAATTCTGTGAAATATGTTCAGAAATAGAACATTTCATGAATATATTACAAGTTCTTTTGTATTGGGTTTACAATTTTCTAACTGAGTAAAATATACTTTTACAAGAATTTCATATTCTTTTATTCCTTTCATTTCTTTTCTATGGATACATTTTCAATGAATGGAACAGAAAACATCCCCAATATTATGGCTTTAGCCTAACCCAAATCCAGCCCTGGTCTCTGCATAACCTTTTTGATTACCTCTATCCCTTAGATGGAACCCACCTAACTACAAATCAATAGCTAATTTACTCCTGAGCATTTTTTTGAAATTTTGCTTTCAAATATGCCAACTGGAAATGTTTTCCAGTGGCTCCATTCTCCACTACATATTTCACAGAATTTCATAGAAAAAGTAATACTCTGGAGAAAAATCAATTCCTTTTCTGTTTATGCTAGTATAAATAATATTTCAAAAAATTACTATACTTTTTTGTCTGTGTTCTTTCTAAAAATTAAATATACATTGTGTACTTTCCTGCTAAGGTTATGGGTAAGTACTGGTCCAAATAGAACCGAACCAGGAGTAAGCCACTTAGAAGAGAGATGTAGAATTGATGAAGGATGAATATAGAACCAAACTGTAAGAATAATATAACTGTATTCTAAAGTAATACTAGACCTGTTCACTAAGGGAGTTGATTCAGGACTGAATGCCTGTTACTGCCTATGCCCTGCTTTTATACAATTCCTTATCAGCAACAAGGGTCTAACCCCAGATAAGGATTGTTCACAACAAACAGGGTCAAGGGTTATCATATTATGCAATAGTGATGTAAACAACAACAACTTTGTGTAGGTTACCCGAACAGGTCTAGTATTACTTTAGAATACAGTTATATTATTCTTACGGTTTGGTTCTATATTCATCCTTCATCAATTCTACATCTCTCTTTTAAGTGGCTTACTCCTGGTTCGGTTCTATTTGGACCAGTACTTACCTACAACCTCAGCAGGAAAGTACAAAGAGTAAGCTTATCCTTTCTTTTCAGACAGAAACAGTTTACATTATTAAAACAACAACATTTTAATTCTAGTAAGATATTCTATAGAACATTTGACAAAACTCAGAAAGAGTTTGTCATCTGAAACCTTGCGAAATTCACGGTGAACCAGCATTTTTGGTGTCTATAAACCAGTCTGAAACTTTAAGTACTGGAGTAATAAATTGGACGTCAGTTGATATCAATAAAAGAAACTCTTTAGCTCTTTTAAAATAGAATGACCAGGCATCTACTTTATAAATTTTGGAGTTGGTATACCAGCTAAAAGATCTATATTAGACCAAGAAATTCTCTTGCATACTGCAGTTTAGTAAGAAGTAATGCATACAGTAATACTATCGACCAATTGACAAGAAGCTGTCTTTAGTCTGTGAGTAAAGACAACAAGCACAGTTTCATTGTTAAATAATAGACCCAGTGATGGTCTATTTTCAGATTCAGGTCTTCAAACCTATTTTACAGCATTTTCACTCGATCCAAATAGACCGTATCTGTATTTATCAATGGATTTTAAAGAGTTTTGCTCCCTAGATTCATACCAAAATATGGAATTTATCACCGAAATAATAGACAATACATACTGAGCTTGGAATCATTTGTACTGTACATTTGAAGCTCCAATTAGAGGAACATATTACGTTGATATGACAATATCTATAAAACGATTGAGCAGTTTCAATTCATATATCAAAGTTAATGGAGAGAAACTAACAAATCAACTACAAATATCTAATGAACATCCAGGCTAGCAGTAAAATAGTGTTCATATGAATTGTAAAATTTTCTAGTGTGTGATAAATAGGCCTTTTAAGATAAAAAAAAACAATAAATACCCATTCTGTTGTTGAGTAAATCAAAAATCTGTAAGGTGGAGGATGAATCAGCTCGAGATTTGCAAGGAATTACAATAGAGGGGAATCCCAAGAATAAGGCTACCTTTAAAGGAGAAACAGAAGAAGAAACTGAAAAAGACGCTGATGATCTGGTAAGCAATTTTATTTAAGTATGTAGTAAAGTAGTGTCTATTCAAGATACAACTGCCAAAGTAAACATAACTAATTGATTGATTGAACGAAAAAGGCGTTGACAGAAATTCCAAGACTAGATTTTGGATTGAAATATGGTTAGGAAGAAGACAGCAACTGATTGGTAGTTAGAATTATTTTGAACTGACTAGCAGTCTTCAAGTAGAATTTTTCTAAGTAAGAAAATAACTGATACAATCAAATCAAAAGTAAATTCTTTTAATCATTCAGAAACAAAAAATAGAGTTATTGACGTCAACTTAAAAATGTCATTGTACACATTGTGACCTGTTTGTATTGATATTTTATCACCATTGTCCAATTTTAACAATCCACTTCTACTCATAATTTCATGGTGTCTCTGCATTTTTATCCTCTGCATAATCAATTTACGTTCATCGTTTACCATAACAAATACTATTGATTGCGATCCTATCCAAGTTCCAACCGAAACTTCAATGTGATACAATCCAGAAAGTTTAACATTGTATGTATTGTTTTGAGAATTCCAACAAGAATTTGTATCAACAATAACTTTATCATATCCAATTTTTACCAGTGTAGTTGTAAGTAATTCAGTTGTCCTGTACGCGTAGAAAGCTGGACTTTTTTCGGTTGCATTTAATTTGAATCCTGATATGTATGTGTTGACACTGTAAGGATAAATAAGAAAGATGAAGTTAAGAGAATTAAGAGTTTTAATATAAAATAATATTTTAATATTCTCTCTCTCTCTCTCTCTCTCTTACCCAGAACTTGTTGATCTTGCATATCCTTTAACCAACTTCAATGATACTTTATCATTTTCTTTTAAATGAACAATGATACCTCTTGAGGCTTGAGAGTGATCTTTCTCAGTTCCAAGTTTGGCTACAACTGTTTCATTAGTTGCCGAGTTATCATTTACTGTTAATCTTACGATACAAGCTAATTCATTGTGAAAGCCACTTCCGAAATTTATGAAATACCATCCCTCTGCTGATACCATTACTTCAGTTTTAGCACTGTTTAGAACGGCACCCTTCAGAGCTCCAATCATGGGAAGAGGGATTAGGCTGTTCTCTGTGAAAAAATTTCCCTGCGTTCCAGCAAAAAACACATTTTCCGAATTATATAGAAACCCAGACCAAGATGTTTCAGAACCAAGTACACTGCCAACAGCTCCAGTTTCTGAAGACACCTCAATGAAAGGTTTATGTAAACGATTTAGAAGAAATATTCCAGATCTACAAAAAGTTTCTTCTAGGCTAACTTGCTGACTTAAGCCTGTTGTTAGGCCAGTATTTCTGAGTTTCACAAAAAACGCTTGATTATTTAATAGAAATGATGTTGCAGTAAGTGTCAGATAATAAAAGCCACTTTCACTAATGTTCAAAGCATTATTCACTGTATCAAATAAATTATTGGTCTCAACATTTATTCTTTGCCATGCAACCCTTCCTGCTGATAGTCTACCAGTTCTTTGTAAAGACACCATAAATGCAGGATTATGCGTTAAAGGACATACATCACCAAAGCATACACCTATTTCAATGGAATTTCCGGGACAGTCATTTCCCCCGTTAGATGGTGGAGGATTTGTGCAATTCCTTGTTCGGGCTTGTAAACCATCCTCACAAGTAGGATAACAGGGACCCCAAGCTGACCATTCCGTCCATCCTCCTGGAACTGGACAGGTAGATTCTGCACTTGTAACGCATACCTTTGTTGAACAATCGCGAATATTGAGATTTGGACTAAAGTAGTAGCCATTTGGGCATTGTTGAGGCCATGCAACTCCTTTATAACAATGGTAATATTGTCTGCAATCATTTTTATTAGGAAATGTCCCATTTTGACGTTCACAGTCTGAATTTTTCACATAACATGATTTATCGAATCTATTTTCATCATCAACATCAGTTGAACATTCTTTAGCTAAAATGTCACTTTCAGTAATTACTGATAACTGCTCTGCTGGACAGTCGGCAACATCACGTTCAACACACATACTATAATCGCATGATTGAATGTGCACTTTGAAGAAAAGTCCAAGAGGACATTGCTGAGAATGTGACGTACCATTAACACAATGATAGTAAACTTGACACATTTGTGGATCTCGATATACTCCATCAATTGGATTTCGATCAACATTGACAGGACAAACAAAATTTGAAAAGTTCAATTGAACTAAAGATGATACTGTAAATAAAGAAATATATATATATATGTCCAGTATACATATAGGCTTTATATATAAAGTGTTCAGTGTCGGCCTCTCACTGCTCATAGATATACACAACGCGAGTGGCCGTTAAAAGCTGCGAGGCTTGAATTACGGACGGTGAGCCATAAACCAGGAATTATAGAGTACAAAATATGAGCTGTGACAGATCCTGCGTCATTCATATATGCGTACATTCATACTACCATACATTCATGTCATTCATGTCTGTGCCTATGATATTTCTACTTAATTTAAAAAATATAAAAATCTAAAATACTTACGCAATAGAATTATTGCTAAAACTTTCATTTTTCCCATCTTTTCTCTACTATGAAACTTTTTGTGAGAGAAGTTTTTGATTTTATAGATTATTTCATATCTTTATCAGAATTA